TTCACTACTCCTTACCACTGGCAGAACAACACGGTGGGCTTCAGGTCTCATATCATGGCCGACCCACTCTCTCTTTCTCTTCCTCTGTCTGTAGATCAGGCCGTTCCTCCTCCATCGCTGGGGTGGACTGGGCAACCATCGCTACCAGGTTGGCTTCTCTGGAGACGTCTTCCCTGTGAGTTCTGCCATTACCTGTCCAACATACCTTTTGGTAGAATTCTGCAGGATAAGTAGTTGACCTTCCTTCTCTGCAGAGCTGGGATTCTCTTCATTTCCAAGTCAACTTCACTCTGCGGGCGACAAACGTGGGGTTTGGCTACTGGAGTCATGACATTGGAGGACACTTGGCCCCCACTCCTCCAGAACTATTCACCAGATGGATCCAGTGGGGGGCCTTCTCCCCCATACTCCGAACCCACTGCAAAAAGAACTATGATACATACCGGAGAATATGGCTCTACCCCACTGTGAGTCTGTTCTCAACACTTACCTGGTCTTTGAACCTTTCATGGAGAAAATGCCAGATTACTAAAGCATGTCAAGTATCTCCCTCTATCTGTGTGTGTGTGTCTGCAGTATAACTATGAGATAATGCGGAGGTTCCTGATTCTGAGGGCCTCCCTCGTCCCCTACATCTACAGCAATGCCAGAGTGGCGTACGACGAGGGACTTTCCCTCCTCAGACCACTCTACTACTATTACCCAGAGGCCCCTGAAGCCTACTCGTATGACCACCAGTACATGTTTGGTTCAGATCTTCTGGTGGCGCCCGTCACTCAGGAGATGGACCCCATCTACCAGATGGTTACCAAGGAGATCTGGATCCCTGAGGTATGCCCTCCCCTCACTCCCTTTATTTCATCCCAAAACATGTAGGGGGTGAACCCCCGACTATATTGCCAAGTTCGTTCCTGTTTTGAAGAGTCCTCCCATGAGTCTCCCTGGGTGATTCCAATTAATGCCTCCCTCTTTCTCACAGGGTTCCTACATCTCGTGGTTCAGTGGAGAGAGACTGACAGGGCCTCAGGTTGTCACCAGGTCCTTCACTCTGCCCGAGATGGCAGTCTATACCAGAGAGGGTAGCATCATACCAATGAGGACAGATGACTTCTGTAAGCTCCTCCCACTCTGTCTGACCACACCCACTTATTGTCTGTCTTACCACACTCCCACAGCACCTCTTGGGTCTGCACAGGAGATCCCTGACAAGTTGAAGTTTGTGGTTTTTGTTGGAAAAGCTACCAGGTATAATTATATTACCATGTTCATAATTATTATGAATTTTGTGAAACTATGGTAGTTTTTAGCTGACCATTGTGGTGGAATGTTTTGTCATACTAGTAATGTCTGCCATGTAGCAACTTACACTGCCACACACTATTGATTCTCCTGGTACCACATTAGTCTCGTGCCCAGACCCGTGTCCACTGACAATTGCAGCAGCTACCTCTGTCTTCCCTCCACAGAGGAGAGTCGTGGCTGTACGAAGACGATGGGAAGACAACAGAGTATTTATCCAGCAAAACATCCAACACAAGCATCTCCTTCTCCCTGAACACTACCGAGTTAGTGGCTGCTGGTAATCTATCCTCTCACTCTCCCTCTTCTGCTGCAGGAGTGTCCTGGATATCATTATTGGACCAACGAAGGGGGGTTTCACTGGTCTCCCCTCATCCCGTCAGTACCAGATACAGTTACCCTCCTTCTATCCAGGTATACACACGGGGATAATCTATACATAGTATATATGTAGGGCTATTAGTGAGATCTGTGTGTATGTGTGTGTACAGCCGACAAGGTGAATGTACAGGGACAAGATGTGCCATATGTTTCCCTGGGAACCTCTTTCTCTGACTACAGTAAAGACTGCTGGACCTACGATGGCAAGTTAGTACCAGCCACTCCTCCACTATCAGTCATTACCGTGGGTGTTGTTCCCCTACAGCTCGCTGTCACTGGTGGTCAATATTGTGTCCTCCCACTCTCTGTATACTCCACTAGCTGTCAGCATCTCCTTTCCCTCCTATGCTGAGGTTGACCCAATAACCACATATCCTGGGTTTACTGGCAGAGTGGCTCGGTTCCAGGCTGCAAAACAGACTCTGGACATGCAGGTATGGGAACAAGCCTGTCCCACACACCACTTCTCTTTCCTGATAAGGACTGAAATACTCAGACCCAATAGTGAATCACATCCTGTATTCTGTACTCAGTGGGGCAAGGATACAGTGTACCAGGAAGACTACCCCGCTCTACTGATGGCCACTGAGATTGGCGAACGCATCACCTACTCTCCTTCCTCCTACACCTCTCTTCTCCCCAAGTTTGAACAGTACGCCCTCTCTGCAGTGGATGAGGTAAAGTTGACTCCCTGGGCTCACCATTATTTATTATGTCATCTCTATACAGCTGATGGTCCTGAGCAATCTCAACAGCACTGTAAAGGAGCAACTTGTGGCTCAAATTTCTTCAATTTAACGTCAAAAACTTTATACATGAACACCAATAATGTTCATTATAATTTGTGTATATTACATGATTCAATCTAAGATTGGTCAGAGTCTAGGTGGTCATAGTCGGAGGTGAACCGAGGGAGAGGGGGAGTGGCAAGAACATCAAGACTGCCACCTCGAGGAACTTCATACGATGAACTCATTCTTCTCATACTTATCTGTAGAGGTGTGTAGTGTCGCTGTAGAGATTGGTGCTTATCAGGGGAGCCGGAGGGTCCCGGGGTGTGTGGCTTATCAGGGGAGCCGGATGGTCTCAGGGGGTGTGGCTTGTCATCAGGTGTCAGGGTGTCAGAGACGACGGGGATGGAAGGTCGCGGAAACTCATCAGAGTTCATGTAACCCTCTGACCCTATTGACATGAGACGAGGCTGCTCTGAAATTGAAGGGGTGTGGTCAGATGATGAGTGGGTGTGTCTTGAGTGACTGGCTCGCATTTCCTGCCAGTATTGGTCCACAAATATTTCATCATAGTCATCAACTTCATCAAGGGCAGGGGCCTTGGGGGGCTCACCCCTAACTAGTTGAGAACAATTGGGTGGAACCACGGCAGCTCTGGTACGAGGGACAGTACATGATCTTCCAGTCACAACCCCAGTCCTCGGGACATGGGAATAGGCGTACGAGTACTCGAGAGTCATCCTGGGCTGGAGGTAGGGCTGCGGTCTCAGGTGACTGCGTCGGGAGAAGGAACTGGGAATGGTGTAATCATCTTCATCGAGATAGGGAGCCGGCAATGAGCCAGTTGACAGTCTTCGCTGGAACCGAGGGGAGCGAGGAAGCCCTACGTGAGGCTGTATGGCTTCCTCTGAGTATGACCTCAGCAAAGAGGCGTGGTGGGCGGGTTCCGAGGGAGTGACCAAACCCTCTGGAGGAAGGGGTGGAGTTTGAACTCCGACTTGCGGCTGGGGAGTTTTCCTGGAGGAGAGGTGTCGGGGTTTTGGTTTACGGGGGGCGGAGTTTTCCTGTGGTCTACTTGCCACACCCTGGCAGTTCCGTTGGGGGTGGGGCTGAGACTGGTGGAGTGGGTGGAGCTTCCAGTGTCCAGGATGTGCATCTCCACATCATGTTCTGTTCCTACGTCACTGTGCTGCCTGTGACTGTCTGGGAGGGAAGGAAGGTGGGCGGAGATTAGTGTCAAAATTACGCACACCAGCTAAAAGAGGGTTGCAATATGTACATTTGGGTACACACTTTTGGGGGGGAAGTGTATACTCTTGCACTGTAGTTTACAAACTTACTCAAAACTACAGTCGATATGGTTCCTCTCTTCATGGACCTATATAAAGGAGAGAGTGAATGAAACACTACTATATACAAGGCAACTGGAAAACACAGTACGAGTGGTGGAATACTATGTCCATAAACAAAGTAGGTGAGTGTCACCTGCTCTTTCTTCGTAGAAAACAGAGGAAGAAGCAGAGGAGTGTGAGGAGGACCAGGACAATGAGACTGAGACCAGCTGAGACCACCAGCAGCTCCAGACCTGGTATTCCTTCAGCTGGACTGGCGACCTCTTCGTCCCTTGGAGCTGAGGAACAGAGGAGAAGTGGGAGGCTAACTTGGCAGTAACACAGAGCCATACAGACAGTGTGTGGAAGACAGTGGGCCTGGGAAAAAGACTGTGGGTAAACAGTCATTAGCCAGAATCCCATTGTGTGGATGTGGGGGCCAAATCAAGGCTGCTATATTTGACAGAGGTGACTGCCAACATAGACAGCAATGGGTAAGAGATGGAGGTGTATGTTAGGACACTCACGATCTCTCGTGGGTGTAGAGGTTGGATCACCACTGCACTCTACATAGGGAGACAGTAATGAACAGGTCACAATAAGTGCCATAAACTTACCCTCCTGCGCTGCATCACTGCAGAAACTGAGATCGTCTACAACACCAAAAGAGAAAGATATGCAATGGCTTTAGAGGAAATAGGGAGCGTAACTGACTGAAAGTTGGAGTGACAAGAAGAGATGTGTCTCGTTTGAGGGCCAAGGATATGTTGCTCACGCTCCCTCTCTCCCCGTTCTCCACACTCCCCACCATTACTCTCCCTCCGTCCACCTCCCCCAGAATGTGGAGAGAGGTGTTCTGATTGATAAACACACCCACCAGATCATCCTCCTCCATTTCCACCCCACACCCCTCCCCCAAGTCCCTATCCTCACACACAAGCCACTGCCCCTCCGGCAGAGTCTTCATGTCAACTGAGAACTTGCTGCCGTTCACTTCCTTCAATGTCCCACCCTCACTCCACCGCCAGAGGCTGAAGATGACAGTTACCAAGCTCTCCTCGTTTCCGTAGGGACTATAGTAGCAGTAGCTCCACCCACTGACACACCCACCTCCACCGCACGGTCCCAATGAGCTCAAAAAGAGGCCAGAAATCTGCTGCGAGTTGGGGTCAGGGGAAGACAGTGGCAACATTTGATTTACTGCATCACTGCATCCACTGCCACCAGAACCTTCTTCACAGCTCACTAATTCTGAGAATTTGGTGTGGAGAAACAGGAAAACGTAATGAAAGTGAGTAGGTGTTCTTTATGCAGTGTTGGGTCTGTTGACGGACAAAAGGTGGGGTATGAATACTATTAGATCACTCTCTCAAGATCGGTTTATACGGACACTATAATAGTGTTCTGATTCCCTGGAGAGGCTCTCCTCTGCCCTAATAGGAGTCACTGTAGTGTTAGTGAGGCATGCCAGTCAGCACGGAAAGAGGAAAAGTTGTGACGTCAGCCAACCTACCCAGCATCGCTAGAGACATGAGTAGCATAAACAACTGCGCCACACGAACACTCGTCAGTCTGACAATGGGCCAAGTACTGCGGTGAAACATTAGTGGAAAACGATGGCTACATTTTTATTCTGTGTTGAAATTATGATCAACAACATTTTAGCTACGAGAAACACTGACTTATACTCACTTTACACATTGCATCGCTGCAGCAGATCAACTCCTATCATTCAAACTCTGCCCTTACAGTTCTTGGCTTTTGCAAAGTCAACTAGCATTGGCGCTTGACTGCCGAAGTTAGTTGCTTATAAACCGAAAACAACGCGGTGCAAAACGCGCATGCGCAGAGAATCGCTGATTCAGCAGTGGGCGGGGCTCATCGTTACGTTGCCCGGCAACATTGCAAAGAAGATGGAGAGTCGGAGATCCAGGCGGTCGCACTCAAAGCTGAGGTTCGCTGGAAGGATGTGCTGCTGCGTGATGTATTACTGGATGCTGTTCCACAGCTCCAGCCAGCTGTCGTCAAGCCAATCGGGCAGTGGTCGCCACAGCATGGGGTTGCACTCGTCTAGCCAACTCCGACTGAGGGGATCTCGCAGTTTCCTGGGCTCCCAGTCCAGCCTCGCCTCCCTCAGCAGGCGGAACCTGGCCTCGGAGAGCTCTCGCTTCCCCAAACCTGAGGCCCAGGTATTCCTCTATAACTCCATGTTCTCAGTTGTTGAACAATCTGTGTTACTATGTCCAGATACTGGATGAGAACGGAGAGGATGTGACTCCGCAGCCACTCCTGGGGCCTGATCTACTCAAGTCAGTCAGTCTCTCTCACTAGCCACAGCAGAAATCCCTTCTCTTCCCCAGGAAGATCAGCAACAAGACATTCTGGAATGAACCAATAGTAAATAAGTCCTCATCTCCTCATTCTCCCTATACTTTTACTGTCCTTCACTAGTCCTCAGAGTCAATCTTCCACCAGAAATCTGGAGCAAGTGGAGGAAGCTTCTCCCAACCTTTCTCTTCGTAAGACACGACACAACTCTGTAGTTTCATCTCACAACCTTTGTTAAATATGTTGCATGAAAAAGTCGAACTCAAGTGTATTGATGATGTAACGATGATGTCATTAGGTCAGTGATGGAGGGAGGAAGTACAATGGAGAGCAGTCTGAGTATGAGTTTGTCCAGTCTTGAACAGCCAGCTGAGGAATCACAGATAACAGGTTGGTAGCAAAACCTTCCAAATTCCACATACCCATGGTGTTTGTGTGGTTCAGATGAGAAGTGGGTGAAAGAGGTTGGTGAGGTAGGGGAGAAGGAGAGCGGGGAGGAGGTGGTTGTAATCACACTGACTGAGACGGAAACCATCAGTCTACTGGACATCCCGAGTTCAGTGGTGGCTGACCCGGATCAGCAGGAGTCTGTCCAGAAGAGCAATCTGCTGTATCAAGAGGTGAGGTGGCAAATTGTTCAGCAAATATTCTATGCCCAGAAAGTAAGGTTATTTTATGACTGTATGCAGTTGCTAAAGAATCGTCAGGGAAACGATCGCTACTCTGAGCGAGGTATGCAGACCATTGACAATGGCAGAAAGACCAAACACGTCCAAACAGACCCAGTCCAGACCACAGTAAGCCACTCCCTCATGACACCCTGCATTTAACTAGTGATTATCTTGGACCCAGAGCAGTGGGGTGCTTGCTTCATCTGCTGACATGTATGACACATACTCCGCCATTGAGGAAGCAGAGAAGGTGAAAGGTGGGTCTCAGGGTGTTCCTGTATATGAGTAGAGTTTGATAGATGAGTGTGTGACAGAGCCCCAGTCAGACGCCAGTTTGGAGGAGCTCACTAGTAGAGCTGCCAGCAGGATGGCCACTGGGAGTCTCCAGTCCTCCAGACCAACCACTGCTCCTCCCGATACCTCAACCTCAACTTCCACTGCCATTCCTGGTACTGCCATTCCCCCCGATACTGTCACACTACTGTTGTCTATTGCAGGAGAAAGTACATTTGTGGGAAGTGTCTTTACTCAGTCTGGGAGTGTGGCTAATCATCCATCAGGCAGGGGTCTCCCCATTCAGACCAACATGGTAGACCCCACTGAGCCTAACGATCATCCTATTCTGAAGGTCTTATCTCAGAGTTCTACAGTAGGAGTATTGACCGCATGTGTGTGTGCTGTGCAGGCGGCAGGATTGCCAGACAGACTGAGGCTGGTCGAGACAGCTGTCATGATGAACTACATGCAGAACAGACTAGCACTCTACCGCAACCTCCCCACCCTCATTGGTGGGCTTCATCCTCCTTTTCCCTGAGTTTGCTCCCATTCTCTTTGCTCCAGAGCATGTGCCGTCCGCGGTAGAGAGTCTGACAATATCGAGAGGCCATCTGGACAGACTGTGGGTGTACGGCTGTCCCCTCACTCGTGGGAGACCTGTCACTGCCATCTGTTGGAACATTGCCAATCCCGACATCCTCGCTGTGGGCTATGACAGCTCCTCCAGAGGAGAGCCGGGCCAGGGATTAGTTTGCTGCTGGTCTCTCAAGAACTGCGAGGTTTGTGGACCTGCTGGCATGGGGGTCTTGTAATGATACCAATGTCTGCAGTTCCCTGCGAGGGTGTTCAACGCACCATCAGGAGTGACTTCGCTCTCTTTCTCTCTCCTTCATCCCAACCTTCTGGCTGTATGTTATTGAACTACGCGACTGTTCCCTTCCCTCCATCGCTCTATCGCTCTCTCTCTCTCTAACAGGCTGGGCTGTGCAATGGGTCCGTTCTCCTTTATGATGTCCGCAGCACTCAACACTCATCAGTTCTGGACAGCAGGTAGGGTATTAGATCACTTTGCAAATGTCACCATTCAGAAGTTTCTTGCTATGTACTCTGTTGGTCCAGAGATGCAGTGCACAGACACTGTGGCCCAGTGTGGCAGGTGAAGTGGGTCCTGAGAGAGAAGACTCTCGGGGAAGAGGCACGCTCTGAGGCCCTCGTGTCTACCTCCACCGACGGCAGAGTTCTTCAGGTCTGCACTATAGGTTCTTTCTCCACCTCTCTTCCACTAACCCCGCCCCTATTGCCCCCTCAATTAGTGGTCAATTAGGAAGGGGTTTGAGAGCTCAGTTCTGATGAAGCTAAAGAGAATGGTGGTGCCCAAACCTCCGATGGTGAAGAAACAGACCAAAGGTGGGAAGACGCAGGCCCCTCCCCCTCAAACTGATGCCATCATCTCCCAGCATGCACCCGGCCTGGGGTTTGACTTCAGCCCCTCTGACTCTAACCTGTGTGTTCCTCGCTCTACTGTAGTACACGACATGAAAGTCCTCTCTACAGATATCTGGTGTGTACAGAGGAAGGCCTGATCCACAAGTGCTCATGTTCATACAATGAGCAAGTTCTGCAGACATACAAAGGACATACAGTATGTCTGATCAGTACCCTAATTGAGGGTTCTTCCTCATAAAGTGAACCAATGTGTCTCCCAGGGAGCAGTGTACAGAGTGAGGTGGTCGCCATTTGTCAGTGATGTCTTTGTGAGCTGCAGTGCGGACTGGACAATCAAACTGTGGCACCACGAGCACACTTCTCCCCTCCTCACCTTCTCCAGCACCAAGGCACACTCTCACTCACTCACACACATACCATGATGTCATACGTACATAACTGCAGACCCCAATCTACGATGTGGTGTGGTCTCCGTTCCATTCTGCCATGTTTGGCACTGTCAGTGGGACTGGGGTGGAGGTATGGAACCTGGACATAAACACGTGAGTGGGGAAGCCCCTGTCATTATCTGTTCTAATTGTCTTGACTGTTGTTACAACAGGTTGGACCCTGTAATTCACCACCACTCACAAACCTCCACCCCCACCTCTCTCTCCTTCTCCTACAACTCTCAGGTATACATTACATCATCACTAATAACTAGACCACACCCCTCAATTATTTCCCCCAGACTCTACTAGTGGGTGTGGCTTCAGGAGAAGTGGGTGTGTACCAGCTCAAGAATGTTCCCCACACTGCGGATGAGGTTAGCTACATTGCCGTGGCGATGAGTAATCAGCTTACATCGTACATCTTTCACTTACAGATAGTTCTTTTATCAGTAGTAGAGGCCGCAGTAAAGGAGCTTCATTGATAGAATGAGACTTGTTGTGCATTACAAAACTATGCTACCTAACAAAAATCATTTGTCATTTGTCTTGGGCTTGGTGTCATAGTCGGGAATGGGGGGTAAGTTTTTTGTGATAGGAGAATTGTCTTTTTGTGAGGAGGAGGAGGAGGAAGATGAAGAGGAGGACCGCCGTCTTTCGTCAGACCTTGCCTTTTCTACTAGCTCCATGTAGGTCTGAGTCTGCTTGTGCACATCTGCAGGGTCACCCTACACGGAACCCAGCAGACCTGGCTATATAGCACCATTTTCATTCATTTACCTTAAATTCATAGCAGTATTCAGCATCGCCCGTTTTGACTTTTCCTTTCACCTCGAGTGGAGTCAAGGATTTCGACATTTCATCATCTCTGAAGAAAAAATACTAACGACAGCAATGAGGTAAAATGAAACATGACGAACGCATTTCCCCCGTCCACCGGAGAGTCTGTGACACGGTTGTTATCGTCTGCTAGTACGTCATCTGACGAAGGCACAGAAGGATCTGGGTTATCTGGGTTTCCTCCACACGCACCAGACGGGCCATCAGCAGGCTCCGCAGCTGGAGGAGACTGAGAATCTGTGGTCTCCTCAGTTGCAATAGGGTTGGAGTCCTTATGTGTTGGCTCATAGGTTTCCAACTGAGGCATCCTCAGATGAGGAGCTGTGTGCGGGGTACTCTTGGCTGCTCCGCTGTGCAACGGGTCCTGAAAGTATGGATGAATGAACCCACACTTCCAACTCATATGCCAAAAGTTACCACAGGTCCAGTGTGAGCTCGGACGGGCTTCCCAGAACATAGGGAATCCTGCCCTGAACCCAGTCGAGTCTCCTCCATTGCTGATACCACACACCCAGGTATGGATTCGCTGGAGTCCGGGGTTTCTGACTCAGGCTGCGAAAAACCGCTCTCGTCTTCTCCGCTTTTTGGCCGCCCGTCCGACGCATCGCTCTCCGCTGCCATTCCTCGTTGGAGTTGGGGGACCGGAGGCGGGGCTAACGTTATAGTCCGTGTCGCGAAAAGTAATTTCAAACTCGCAATGGCAGAGAAGAAACAGTCTTCTGCTTCGGCTCCCCACGAGGCGGCAGGAGAGGAAGACTACGGTTCTCCTCCAGATCCAGGTCTGGACAACGTACTGGGACAGAAGTCCCTCAAATGGATATTCGTAGGAGGCAAGGGAGGCGTCGGGAAGACCACGTGCAGGTAGGTATGACAGTAATCTCACGTGCACACTGGGGCTGAGTTGAGCTCTGACCCCAGCTGCAGTCTGGCCGTCCTCCTGTCTCGAGTGAGGGAGAGTGTTCTGCTCATCTCCACTGACCCCGCCCACAACATCTCCGACACCTTCAGCCAGAAGTTCAACAAGTACCCGACTCAGGTCCACGGCTATCGCAACCTCTACGCCATGGTAACAGGCCACACCCACTCACGAGTTGTGTGAAAATTTGTGTCCCTCGTCACAGGAGATAGACCCTGCAGTAATGGACAGTGACGAGATTCCTAATGACGAGCTGGGGCAGAATGAGAGTTGGTTATTATAGCAAAGAGTGTAGTGTACTTACAATGTATGTTCTGTGTGTGTGTAGGTGGACTGAGTGGACTGGCGAAGGAACTGATGACAGAATTTGCCGACTCTCTTCCTGGTATTGACGAGGCCAAGAGCTTCCTGCAAGTCATGAGGTACTGTACTCCATGTTTGCACACTGTGGAACTACCATAAATATGGCATACGTAACATAGGTTAGACGATGGGTCCGAGGTGGATATGTAAAATCAGAAACCTGCAACGAGGTGTCTATGAAAATAAACCACCTGCAATTCTGCAATCTGATTGGTCAACATAAACAGAGTGCTTTGTTTTGCCTGAAATAGTGCATAACATCCATTTTTTTTATGCATGGCCAGTATTTTTTGCGTGTGTAAAAAGAGTACTCGTGTAAAAAGCCCTGTCAACGTCTGTAACTCTTTCATAAAAGAAAGTTTTGCCTCTACTTCACTTATTTCTCACCCCAGTCTGGTGAAGGAGCTACATTTCTCAGTGGTGGTATTTGACACAGCACCAACTGGCCACACCCTCAGGTTCCTGGCAATGCCCACTCTCTTCCAGAAGGGGCTCGGGAAGATGACTCAACTCAAGTCACAGTTTGGGCCCATCTTTAGCTCTGTGAGTGGTCCTTGTTGGTTGAGTGTTGTAGCTATAGTTGTCTAATGGTCTGCAGTTGCTACCAGCAATGGGTGTTGGGGACGAAGCTCTGCGGGGTCAAATGATGGAGAGCATGCCAATTGTGGAGCAAATCAACCAGGAGTTCAGGGACCCTGTGAGCTGACTATGTATTCTCTCTTCCTTTCTCACATGTGAATTTACACTACCCGTCAGTTATCCTCAATGTTTGTGCGCAGGAGAAGTCGACGTTTGTGTGTGTGTGTATTGCTGAGTTCCTGTCTCTCTATGAGACGGAGAGACTGGTCCAGGAGCTAACTAAACTGGGAATTGACGTACACAATGTTGTAGTCAACCAACTCCTGAGACCAGAGAGGAATCAGGAAGGTAAGGGGGGCAGGGTAAGGAGGGGAAGAGAGGGTTAAAGTTGTGGCTCTCTGACAGGGAAAGTTTCTTGCAAGATGTGTGCTGCAAGGTACAAGATCCAGTCCAAGTATTTGGAGCAGGTAATTAGTGAGTTAATGACAGGGTCTGCCCCCTCACCAGTTGTCTGTGCAGATCCATGACTTGTACGAGGATTTCCACATCACAGAGTGTCCTCTGCTGGAGGACGAGGTCCGAGGCAGGGAGAAGGTGGAGATGTTCTCACATTTACTGCTCCAGACTAGACTTGTTTAGTTCATTATTGTGTGTTTGTCTTGTAATTCCCCAACTTCATGAAATGCTCTGATGTGTGTATTTAAACTTGGTGAGTGATGAGGAAGAAAATGAACCTCTCTGAAGGAATGAGCTATCCGCTACACACACGATAAGGCCCAATAAGGAAATTGATGACAGATGAGTTTGGACACAGCACAGCACAACGTTTTTGGGACCTATTAGATGTTAGGAGGGAAAGTGCAAGGCAGCTAAGGTGGACTGGTTCTCACTGTTTATTACCCTCGGCGCGCATGCGCAGCCAGGGTTGCAGTGTGTCGTGCGCGCCCCCACACTTCACGAGCCATGAATCACAAACAAACAATACCACGTATGTATAGGTCGAAATGTGTGTAGGATTTTCTCTGAAACTACTGCGTTCGAAAGTTATGGCGTGAAAACCAAGTGAACGAGCTAGTGTGCAAATTAGCCCTGGCTTGCTCTGCGTACCTTGCAGGCACCAGAAGTTGCCATGCGTGGCGTTTATTTAGTAGTGTAGCTAGCCCGTTACTGACTCTCAGCGACTTGGTATATAACACACCACCAGTCAGTATACTTCCCATCAATTAGCAGTAAGCGCATGAGTGTACTTACCGACCGACCGGTTGCGCGCGCGTTTCTATAGCTAGCCGGGATAAATCTGTTCACGCATGCGCGAGATATTCCGTAAAACATATTCATGTACAGCTAGCTCCTGTGATAATAAGTATTCATGAAACATTACATCATAGTGAAGGTAATAACAGTCCCTGTGGGAAGAAAATGGCTGAATTTGAACCGCCAGGCTCCCCCAAACCTGAGAAGGTATATACACAAAGTGTGTGTCAAAGTGTTAGTTATTGTGTGAGGACCTTTGTGGCCATAACCCTGCAGAAGTAATGTATGCTTCCCTGACTACAACAACTACTACATTCAAAATGATGCTTCCACAAGTGGATGCTGAAACCGGAGCCCCTGAGAAAAAAACAATTAGTTCTGATGACGACTTTGAGAATTCAGAGCTAGCTACAAGTACAAGGCCTTTCAATTACCTTGAAACCCAACCTTACGAACCTTTCACACCTCCTTCCCTCGAGGCTCAACATCCCACGGAAGGCACAGAAGAACAGCCAACCCTTACAGATCCAGTTGTGAACGAAGCAAGCTTCCCTATTGGTTATTCTGCTGAGCGTAGGAGACTTTTGGATCCCCATGCTGACATAGTGCCAGCCTCTTCAAGTAGTGACAGAAGGCCTTTGCCTCCATGGCATAGCACCACTACAACAATAGCACCAGTCAAGACCTCATCAACTCAGACCGCACCAGTTTCCTCCATAGCAGAGACCACACCGGTTCCACACACAGCGGTTACTGAGCCAGTTTCTCACAAAGCAGTGACCGCACCAGTTCCCTCCATAGCAGAGACCACACCGGTTCCACACAAAGCGGTTACTGAGCCAGTTTCTCACAAAGCAGTGACGGCACCAGTTTCATCTACAGCAGTAAAAGGGCCAAGGTGATACAATGTGGTGACTTTTGTCCTGTGATTTTAATTTTGATAACCACAGCCAGCAGAGTGCCAAAGAATTTTTTTCTACGGTTAGACATAATTATACGATCACACTATCAAAAGATTTGACAGTGTGTTGTTATAGTTGTCATTCTCTAGTGCACATGTTAAGAAATACACAAGTCGTCATCAGACACCCTCTGGGGCCACAGATTCTACTACTGAGATTGAAGGCTTTGAAGGATATGATCGATGTGAAAAGACAGAAGTTAGCACCAAGAAAGGTGAGTATACATCAGTGGAGATACAATGCAAACTGTTAATGACTTTCTTTAAATCCAGAATCGGGAGCTGATCAGGCCGAAGTTACAGAACGGTATTACTGTTGGTGCGTGTAACAGTTTAGAATGACCTTACCGCAACAGACAATGCAGTCAGCAGAGCACAAGTTCTTCCAATGATGCAGGAACATTTGTATCCAACGTAAGAAAACATGTATCAGGTGCCCATAAGCTCTGCATTTCATTTCAGCTACCTTACCAACATGTAATAATGAGGGCATACAGAAACCGTGAAACATCTAATAGTGGAGAGTTGTTCTCGACAGAGATAGAGGGATTTGAAGCTGGGCCATCCCATGATGATGAACCAACTGGGATCAACAAGCAACAAATCATTGTCATGGCTATTGGACTAACAATAACACTGTTTGCCTTAATTCTACTCACAAAGACTCCAATAAAACAGTGACAGTGTCTAAAGTAGCAAACACATAAGGAATGTAGTTGTTTGTAGCATCTTCTAATAATCCTTGTGAGCAGACTTTTGTAACCATCATGTAAATACGATATGAAGTGGTATGAAAACTAATCTGGGTGCCGGCTGGCACAACGGTGCAGTGGGATAGGGCAAAGGCAATTGGCAGGGGGGGTGCATTAATTAGAGTATAAACAGTGTAAACAACATAAATTATAAGGATTTGCAACATGAATTGGGGAGACAGGGGGTTAATCTTGGGAGGATGAATGACAAGAATGCAGGAATGAAAAGAGGAGAGAGGCGTTGTTGCTGTTGCCGAGCAACTGTTCCAGCTGTTCTTGTGACAAGGAGACCAGTTCTTGTAAATCTTTCACCTTCTCCAGAACCACCCTACAGCAGGGGGGGTATTATAGCACGCACTGTGATACGGTAAAGAACTTTCACAAATGTCCAGCTTTATTAGCTGAATCCTAAAGGTGCAGCAATCTTACATTTGCTACCAAAACACAAGAGTTCTCCCTAAAGTGCCCCATTGTGCCGTACACTATATACCTGCAGTTCCGTGAGTTGATTCCTGGCAACTTCATCAGGAAATCTTGAGCAGCTCCGTTGTACCCTGACCCCATCCCAGAGCCGAGCAGACTGTCTTGTCCTATCGACACCGCCTGGGCCGCATCTGGCTGGGCGTGGCCTCGCTGGAGGGGGAACTTATTACATCATCACGACATAATAATTAGACCACACCTTTAGTTCAAGGAATAGTTCAACAGTAGCGTGAGGACTGGAGCACCACATGACCCTCAACTGACGAGAGGGAGTGAGGGTATGATGGTGTGAGGGTGTGGAGAAGGTAAGGCTGTAGGACTCACAGCAGGGAAATGGAGGGTGAGTAGAACCAGTTTAGAGAGTGGGCTCTGGGACGACATGTCAGACTGGACACCAGCCAGACTCTGAGTGAGGAAGAAGAGCTGGAGGAAGATGAGAGAGAGGGTCCAGACCTGCAGGGAAAATGACTTGTCGTGAGGGAACTCGATCAGGAGGAGGGGTCTGGGGTAGTGGCGAGTGAGAGCAGTGGCCTGGGAGTAGAGTCGACCGGAGTTGAGGGAGGAGATGAGATCGCTGACACTCTTCCTCTCCACACACACATCTGGCGTCAGGACATAGTCCCCCACCTGGCAGCCGGGCGCCAGAGGTGAGAGGTCAGAAACAGAGGCCAGCTCACCTCCAGAGTGAGAGGCAGAATGTTGATTCCTCTCTTGTGGAGGAGAGAAGGCAGAGAACTTCTGAACTCTCTCATGTCAACTATCACCTGAAGACAGAGATGGTCAACTTGACAACATGTTTCGTATCTACACCCAAAACCTGTTCACTTCTTCACTCTAGTGGTTGTGTTGCCATATCGTCTACTCAGGTAGGCAATTGTAAGTGTGTATGTGTGCATATACCTTCTCCTCCGAGCTCTGACCTCCAGCTCTACGTGAGTGGGTGTGGTCAGTGAAATCTTTGGCTCCGCCCACTCCTTGGTCCACCGGGAGAACCATTTGCTGCACACACAGAGAGTGAGGAATGAGAGGACAAACATCTCTTCGCACACTCACAGCTCTCTCTCTGATCAGCTGCTGAAAAGCCTCCTTCTCTCTCCTGAGAGCTGTCAGGTACCTCTGTACAACACAGAAACAATGTCACAGCATTAAGATTGACCAGAGCAATACATGTGGCATGCCGCATGGTACACTGCTAGGCTTTGCGACATTATTGTGTATTGAAGAGATATGTATCACCTGTTCCTCCACGGAAATGTCATACAGAAGGAAGTACACTCTCACTCTCGTTTCCGGGTGACTGGACTGGTACACCTGTGGGGAAGTCCCTGTGGTTGCCATGGATACACGTGACCCCACTGACCTCCAGCTGTCTGACGGAGCGTACGTCAGGGTCATACATGACCACGTAACGAGGCCGGAGTTCATCCAGAACACGATGCAGCTGGTGCGGCTGCCTGAGAGAGAAAGATTGAGGTGTAGGATCAGAGGTCAAGCCACACCCCTCACTCTCCGGCAATCTCCAGAGCATGAAACACGACCACGGGCTCAGGGAGGAGTCTGAAGTGGGTGTGGTCTTCTTTGGAGGTGGGCGGAGCTACCTTCATGCTGCCATCTTCACTGAACTGGAGTTCGGCCTGTCCCAGTCCCTGGAGTGATGTCATTAGACAGGAAAATGACATCATTTTTAGGGAAGACTCACCTCGTACAAGGCAGCGGTATCTTCTTCCTCCCTGAACAAGACAGTTATACCTGACACAGCAATACTAGCGAGTGCACCACCTGTCTCCTCCATCTCTTGGTTCACCAGATTTGCCTGCAGACTGCTGGTGGTATGCCTTCCTCGGAGCCGCCTGCTTCCTCTTCCTGGCCCCGCCCACCTCGGCCACGCCCCCTCCTCCCAGCTGGTACTGAGGGTACTTTTGAGAGAGGAATCTATGAAACTGCTGCTCCAGTAAGCTCCGCCCACCAGAACACAGGAACTGCAGTCAGACAATCAGAACGACACAATCCACACATACACACACACAAATGCGAGAATAGAAAAGAGGGTGTGGCTACCTGTTTAAGTTGGTAGGATGTCCTCTCATCATTGACCACCACCAGAACCCTCCCACTCCCCACACCCCCCTCTCCTCCGCCAACCTCTCCCCTCACTTCCTCCAACACCATTCTCAACAGATGCCACTTTGGACTTTCCTCCAGACACAGACCTGAGGGACCAGGGATAGTTAGCCACACCCCCTGACTCCGCCCACTAGTCCTCACTCATCTGGTCTCCAAACACCCTCTCTCTGGCTCTCTGCAGCATCAGAATAATGTACAACACACTAATTACATACCACTGTCGCCCACCGCAAACACAATGTTAGCTGAGTCCAACAGCATCCAGTTGGCTTTACCACCTCCGGTCTTTTCAGCCCTGCACACACAGTCATACAGTCAACGTCACATACACACACACTCACTCACTGACCTCTGACCCTCCAGATAGTGAAAGAAAGTGACACAGTCATATTGCGTCAGGAAGCTGAAGAGAAACAACATTCTTGACACACAAATGAGACATGGCTGACTCCTGTCTGTCTCACTAGAGGATGGTTCGCAGTGTCTTTAGATCAAACACCAGTTGTCTTGTCTTGGAGCTCTGCCAGACACACACACATGCACGGCAGCGAAATTTTGAGGGGTGAATTTGAGATTCTATTTTGTAGGAGCAGGGACATAATACTCTCCACTGGACAGGGACAAAATACTCTCCACTGGTCTACAAAACAGTTCCTAAGATTCCCCACAGTGTACAGTACATGTACCAGTTGGTTCCAGAGTGGGTCCAGCTGATGTCTTATCACCACATCAAACGCCTTCCCCATGCACATCTCCACGGTAACCTCATCCATCTCCAACTGAGGAAGAAACATTATGTGAAACCACACCCCATGCCCCGCCCACAAACCCACGGCAGGGTTCGAGGTCTTGAGTTCAGAGATACAAGACTTGATGAGATCGAGAACTGCCATTTGGATAGCTGTCATAGCGGGACTCAGCTGCTGTCTTAGTTCAACCACCTCTGGCTGTAGATCAGTGAGTGGGGCATAATAAACCTCCCTTGTTTGCTAATTCTCTCACCTTGTGTGTGGCTAGAGAAGAGCTCACTGTGGCATGGAACCTGTACCAGGAGAAGAGAGGCAAAGCTGAAAGTTGAACAGTTTTGCCTCACAAACTGTGCTCCCACTCTCTCTATGTTACATGTAGTACCGTGGCCAGAGGTATAGGTGACGGAGGAAAAGGCAGCGCATCACCCTCTCAAGTTGACAGAATCCCGACATAAACTGCTCTGGACTGTCAGAGAATGCCTTGACGAATCCGCTCTGCAGGCAGCGAGGGAGGGAGGGAGGGAGGGAGGGGGTAAGTAAGACAGAGACAATTGAGAAGCAAACCTTTGAAGATTCTCTGAAGAGTCTGATGATGAATGCCTCACTTGACGTCTCTGTCACTCTAAAGATAGAGAAACTGAGGTCATGAGACAATGACAATTTGCACAGTAACGCCTAAGGGTTGGTTGCACTGCAGAAAACTGATCATTCACTTTTTTGCACAGAACTGCAGCACGTTGGGAGGGACTTACTTGTGAGCACTCCATATAAGGAGACCAGAAACACCCGCAACGGGACACTGCCCTCGCAACAAATCCACCACTAGAATTCGAGATGTGATGAACACCACACCCCCTCTCTGGTACACCGTCTCCCTGGCAACAAGAATGACAGTCTCAGTAAACAATAAAGCCACACCCACCTCTCCTTTACGGAGACTTCGTTGGTGATTGATCGAGGAAGATGGTCAACCTTTTCCCGCAACAGCTCCTCCATATACTGACCCTGTGGGGGAAATAATTAGACCAGGGGCGCACCCCCTTCTCAAAACGTCCCACCTGGTGGGCAGGAGAGGTGTTGAGGACCAGAACCAGCTGGTGGTGGTCAGAGTACAACTTCAGGAACTTCAGAAACAGTCTCTCAAGCCCAAGGCCCCTGAGAAAGCTTCATACGTGAATCACGTGATCTACCCAGGGACTCCAGCTAACCTGGCCAGGACGACCATGCCGTCCTGAGCGAGGAGCTCAATGAACATCTGGTTCTCAAAGTCCAGCTGAACCTCGCACATGGCTGCTGCTGAGCCAGACGAATCTGGCGGCACAAGCGCGCATGCGCATACAGGCTTAGCGCGCGCCGTTATTACATGCGGCCCAACGAGCCCCTCCCTTTTTTCCCGCAATGCGTGATCAGTTGCAATTAGCAGCTAGCTAGCTTTAGCCAGAAGCAGAGGAGGGAAAATGAGGACCGGTAGCCTGATAGTTGCCGTGATGTTTGTAAGGATTTCTCCTAGTCTCGATTTTTCAAAATGCGACCTTTCCTTTACAGCTGGCGTGTTTGGCAGCGGTGGAAGGCTATCACACGTCAATCAAACGAGCTCGTGAAATTCCCTCATTGCTGGCCGTTGGACGCCGATGATGAAAACGACGAGCCCATTGACTGCGGAGGTGAGAGCTAGCTTTCTCCATTGCATAGTTCAAGATCAAGAAAAGGCTGTTTCTTTCAGGCCTCACGATGGAGTGGAGAAGGCGGCCCGACAAGCCTGAAGTCACAGTAGGAGGCACTGTCCATTTCGCTGTCAACATCACCTCCACTGACATTCAATTGTGAGTATATCCGTGTTGGGATTATTGGGCTCATCAGCAGCATCCCAACACACACACAGCAATGATGATCTAGCTGCCCTGTGTGTGAGGGACTGTCCGGCCCACTGCAATGTGACGCCACAGGACTGCTGTGTTTGGCATGCAACTCTCCTCACCTGTTCTCTTCGCCCTGGCGATGTAAGTAGTTACAATATTGACTAGTTTTGTTGAGCAAATCAAATATCATTATCATTGTAGGACTTTGATTTATGTGTTCCATGGAGTGAGCGCAATGTAGTTCGAACTGAGACGATGTGTGGGCCGTTTGGTTTGTACAATGCCTCCATAGTACTGTCTGAGCCCGGGTTCAGAATCATCATCTACCACCTGCAAGTGGGGAACGTGTCCATAGTTCTCGGTGACTACATTAACATAAGGGGTGCTGGTAAGGTCTTCACTATTATTATATGCTGGAAGAAAGTAATAATGATATCTCTGCACATCCAGTATGTGGAGATATGATGTGTCACAAAGCTGTTGAAGATTGTGTTTCCTGCCCAGGTTAGAAAAAATGTTGATGGTATAAGAGGCGTATCATAATAATATTATAATACGTAATGTGTCTGTAGTGGACTGCTGTGCAGTGGAATTGGGCACTGTGGTCTCGGTTGCTTTTTTGGTGGTGGTGATAACAGCTACGATAGTGACCACCCTCTCCGTAGCTGGGGTCAGTTTACCACAATTTGTAGACTGAGATCAATTCCCTGATTGGTCTGCTCCAGTGTGTTGTTTACCGCAAGAAGAAGCGAATCGGAGATGAGAGTTGGATCATCAACTATAGTGACATTACCACCAGTAAGAAGACACACGTGTTAGCTAACAAATTGACAGTATCTCTCATTTCTATCTCCATCTGTCTGTTATTCAGACCCTAAGAGAGGTAAATGCTACAGCTTGGCTCTGTGGTGGTACAAGTCATTATTTGCCTCCATGTGCAGCCATGTCCAGTCTCCAAAGTCTCAACAAGAGAAGAGGCAGCACTGGTGGCTCCCTCACCTCTGCATTAGACCTTCAGGCACAACAGGTCTTCGCTGAAATAGGAGCATAGTAAGCCCAACTCCTAGTGGAGAATGTAGCGCATGATAATTGATTATCTGTTGTTTTTAGTGAAGGTAAAACTGTTGCCATCAGAAGAATTCGAATGAAGAGATGCATATTTGCTGGGTGTGGTAGCATCTCGTCTCAATTAAGAAAAGAAGTCTTTCAAATAAGGTGAGGGTGCATTGCAGTGGGAATTCCTCACACCTATCACGTGCCAAGATTGAGACTATGATTTACATTGACCATTTGCCGGTATTGTTTACAGGTATCTGGAGCACCAGAACCTGTGTAAGTTCATAGGAGCCACAGTGAAAGACCCTACACCCAACATAGCTATCATCAGTGAATACTGCTCCAAGGGTAGCCTCAATGATGTTCTACTGAACGATGATGTTCCTCTCACATGGAACTTTCGATTCTCATTTGCCGGGGACATCGCTCGTGGAATGGCCTTCCTTCACTCTCACGGCATCACACACGGTCGACTTACCTCTTCAAACTGTGTCATTGATGATAGATGGGTCACTAAAGTCACAGGTATATACCACAACAAGTGTTTAATCCCCACAGTTATAATGGTGTGTGCAGATTACGGTCTGCCTGCTCTGAGGTATGGGGAGGAGAGTGGGGAGGAAGAGGAGGAAGAGGCCGGCGAACAGCTGCAGAGGATTGTTCCAAAGGTTTATCGTGCCCCTGAAGTAAGAGACCTTCCTCCACAGAAACCCTCCAGTTCTCAGCCTGCAGACGTGTACAGGTATGATCTAGGTGGCTTGCTACTATATAGTAGAAGTCACGAGATTGCATTAATCTTTGCAGCTATGCCATCATCCTCTATGAAATAGCCACTGGAATGGATCCACACTCTGTAAGTTGACTCATAAGCTGTGAACACCATCTTACTTCGCTCTGAAATAACAGGAGAATACCTGGCAACTGGATGCTAACTTCAAGCCTAAGATAAACCAGGGCCAGCTGAGTAACACAAAGTGTCCTTGCTCTCAAGACTATCTCAATGTAAGCCCAACATCACCCAGTTCCAGGGCCTAATGCAGTGTCGCCGTCCTCTGCCACCAGCTCATCAACAAGTGCTGGACCTTCAGTCCTCAGACTAGACTCACGTTCGATAGAGTCAAGAAAGAGTTGAGAAACATTAACCCCTCCAACACCAGCGCCCTCGCATGGACAAAGGAAGTGTCCGAGCTCCGAATGTAGCCGCGGACGGACCATGACGTCGTGGCTGGCCAACACTCACTGAACGCATCTTCCCTTCGCCCGCTGAGCATCGTCCCATTCATGGTTAGATACAGTGTGTCCGTCCAGTGCCCACAACCGCCGGATCTCTCGGCAGTTCCCCACGAAATACTCCATTGAGATTCGGACCGACCCGTACGCTGCCCCTGCTGGTCGCCTCCGCACTGCCGTCGCTCACCGTCAGCGTAACTTCGTACGTGCCGGCCGCAGGGTAGAGATGCGTGGCGGTGACGCCGGTCCCGCGGCTACCGTCTCCGAAATCCCACGCGTACGTCAGCACATCCTCGTTCGGATCCGACGAGCCGTTGCCGTCGAAGCCCGATATTCCGTCAGCCCCGCCATCCCGAGCCCGTTCGGCGTAATCCGCAGCGTCGCCACCGGAGGTGCGGGGGCCGCATCGCGCGCCACCGCCACACCGGCCACCGCCGCTCCCACGCTCCCGGCCACGACGCCGACAACGCCCCCCGTGCCCAGCCCGCCGCCCGCGCCCGCGGTTCCTGCCGCGCCACCGGCCGCTCCTCCCGTCGCGGCCGCCGTGACCACGTTGCTCTGCACATGGCCGCCGTCGCCGTCTGTCCCTGGAACGCCGCGCTCACCTGGAGCTGCACGGCCCCGCTCGCCAGCGGGTTCACCGTCACCGCGGCCTGTCCCAGCGCGTTCGTAGTCACGGCGACCTGCGACAGTCCGGCGTTCAGCGTCGCCGTGCCTCCCTCGCCGAGCAGGAAGAGCACCGAGGCGCCCGACACCGGCAGGTCGTTCCGGTCGCGCACCTCCACCACCGTCGGTACCGCCGTCCCCTGCCCGATGATGTTGACGCCGTCCTCGCCCTCCAGCACCACGATGCGCAGGCCGGGTCCTGCCGGGCCGCCGCGCCCGTTGGCATCCAGAGTGCGGATAGCTCGCTCGCCACGAGGAGAACCCCGACGGCCAACTCAGCGATCAGTGTCGCGCGGACGGTACGAATCGGTTTTCTCAATCGTCTCCCTCCCTCACGCCCCCGATCCACGACTTCGGTACCACCTCACCCTCGTGGCTTCCTACCGAGTGAACAATAGCACCCTCGATCCGCGCTGGTTGGGCCCGCCACGTGTGGGCACCAATGCACCCGAAACCTTCATTGCCGTTCGAAGGTGACATACAACTCTATACGTTCCGCGCCCTCTGACACGATTCCGGTGAGCTGCTCGTACTTCGGCACGTGACTGTAGTCATCACTATCCAGGGTGCCATCAGTGAAGCGGACTTCCAAGTGTATTTCGCATCACTGCTGTCCCACTAAAGTCCACGTGAACTTCATCGTCAACTGGGATGAAACGATCCGGTGGACTCTCGTTTCCGCTTCCCAGCAACTCCCGAAGCGGCCGGCGCTCGAACAGGTTGAGCTGAAGAAGCCGCAGAATCTCGCTCAGACGCCATGCAATCCGATTCGCAAACTTGATGTACGACAGGATCAGATATATGCACATCGCAGTCCAGACCTGCGTCATCACTGCGTTGCGTGACGTTCCGACGAAGCTCTTCACCTTCAGGTTCTGCCTTTGATCCACTTGAAGAAACAGCTCCACCTGCCAGCGCGACTAAATGTAAATGTCCGCAATGGTCTTCGCCGACAGATGGAAGTGCGTCGTCAGAAACACGTAGTCCTTCCCCGTCTTCCGATCGTGGTACCCGATGCGCCGCAGCCGATGCGGGCACTGCTTTCTCCCCTTGCGCGCTCGTGAACTCGATGGTCTCATCCGAAGTCACGCCCCGCTTCGCGTTGACTTCCCGCGTCTCCACCACGCCGTACTTGATCCCCGCTTGAGTCGCGTCACCAGGTGAATCCCCTCCGAAAATCAACGAATCGATCCACGCAAAGTCCACGTACGCGCGTGTCCGCGGCGACGATGCTGCCCTTCGGCAGTGTCAGCGCGCGCGCCGCCTCGATGTCCGACGTCTTCCCGTTCGTCACCCGAACGAACGTCGGCAGATACCCCTCGTGGTCCAAGCCGACGTGCACTTTCACCGCCCCTTTCGTCCGCCGGAACTTCGCCCACGGAAACGCCGACAGACACAAGTCAATGGTTGTCGAATCCACAGAGAACAACTTGGCTTTGAACCTGTAGCCATGTCCGGCGCCTTCGCTTGGCAGCGCCCCAGCAATCGCCCGTGCAACTCCTCGTACATCTCCCACGGCTTCTCGGCGTTCACCCGCGCGAGCGACGACCGCGTCACCACGCCGACCCCCAAGTGGTAGAGCTTGCACGACTGTGCGGCAAGATTCGAGACGATGTCCCGCAGGCTGCAGCGTCCTGTCAGCTGCGCCATCCCCATCGCCACGAACTGGCCCCAGCGGGTCATGCTCCGCGACATCCGACCCG